CTGCAAAAATAACAGTATAATGACGAAGAAGAAATATGTACGAATTCCCCGTTTTTCTATACTGTCAACTTTTTTTTTTTTTCGGTGGAATATATCATCTGAAGTTTTTTTTGTTCGCCTCTTAAAAAAAACAGCACAAAAGGAATGGCAACAATTGAGCTGTTTATGGATAAATTCACAGCTACAGTGCTCAACTCAAATGTAATTGAAGGGATTAGGATAAACGGGATACAGGGAGGGCATCAGTTAGGTAGTTAATATCTTAGATCAGCGATATTCGCTTGTTCTATAGAACCATCAGTCACTCTTCGGTGTTTTAGACTAGCCAAGAACTTGTTGTTATACAACAACTACTTTTGTGCACCGTTGACTATGATCAATACTTAAACTAACAGGTAATTTACGGTGTCTGTAAGCTGTATTACATATCGGCTATCTTATAGGCGGTTCGGTACTCGTTGTGCGGGTTGTAATGTGGCGCTGGAGAAGAACGATCTTGTTCGGCGGGCACGAGATAAAGTTTTTCATATACAGTGTTTCCAGTGTACAGTATGCCAAAAAAAGCTGAACACCGGCGATCAGGTAGTGGTCTAGTTGTTTTGCCCTTTGGTCTAACTTAGACACTAAATGCCTGAGAAATAGTGCATAAGAAAAGAAAGCAATTGGAGACGGCCAACGACAGCGGCACTAATCGCTTCTTTTTCAGTGAACAGTCATAAACCTCCCTAAACTTCTCGTCAGTTCTTTCCCTTCCCCCTTCTTTTTTTTGGCCCTAACAAAAAACCTCACAACCATTCGCTTCTTACATATTTCTGTTTTCCACATTTATTTTGCCTTACTGTTTCCAAAAAAAAGGATAAGAATGAAACCAAATTGGTTAACGACAAAAGAAAAATATTACTTCCAAAAATACCATTTTTTTCTTCCCTTTCTCTTCCCTTCTCTTTTTTTCCAATCAGAGAAAAAAACACAGCAAAAAAAATATTTGATGGTGCCATAAAATTTGAGTGAATGATGCCAAAAAGAAAGAAAAATATAACTAAAAATTAAAAAAAAAAAA